GTTTCCTTGCTGAGAGAGAACAGAGGATAAACAGGCTCCAATGTGGCAAGTAGCTTTAGAAGTCTGTTGAAAGGTCAGTGATTGGAGCAGAGGGACTGAGTGGCCACGCCGAGTGGTGAGAATTGGGCGGGGGTCAGTAACGAAGGGCCTTTTATACTGCGATGAAAGTTGAATTTTATTCTGAAACTTATGGGGAGCCATCAAAGGATTTTAAACTGAGTGGGGAAAGCTAATCTAAAACTTTATCAAGTTTACGTGAGCGACATTGTGGAAAATGGATTGGAAGGGGCACAAATAGCAGCTGAAAATACTCAGAACATCTTCCAGACCTGCTCCAGTCTGACCCAGTTGTTCTCCCGGGAACCCACACTTGCTCTCTCGGTGGCTCTTCTCATCATCTTCCTGGGTCGGCTCCTCTCTCCCTCTTGCCCTCACCTTCTTCGAGTAGGTCGCCATGTAAAAATCCTAAGAAACGTTGCTTTATAGGTAAAAGTTCTTGTAAGTCGGAAATGACTTTATTCTGCCCTCACTCTCGATTGGGAGAATTCTAGGTTGAAGAACGTTTTCCCTCAGAACTTCATAGCCACTGCTCCATTGTCTGGAGTGATATCAGTCTGTTCTTCCCTTTGATCTCACATTCGAAAGAATTATCTTGTGCTCTGCATCTTCTTGAGCATTGTACTTCAGCCGCGCTGGCCTCTTCTTGTTGTACCTTGAATGTGTCAAGCTTTTATCTACCTACTTGTTTCCTCTTCCTGGAATTTTCTTCCCCAACTCTACTCGTGGCTGTTTCGCTAATCAGGTCTGAGCTCAAATGTCAGCTCTTAGAGAGGCCTTCCCTTAGCAATGCAGCTAAACTAGCAAATACTGGATGGGCAAAAAGTGTTTATTGAATTAATTAAAATTAACTAATTAGTTAATAAGTTGGATTCTATAGGAGTATTTCATAAAGGGGTTTGTATTCGGCCAAATTCACAATCTTATTCATTTTAAATTGGCAATCCACATGGAAAAAAGTGAATCTCAAATTCCTACATCATCTAATACATACAAATTTATTCAGATGCCTTATAAATCTAAATGTAAAAGAAAAACTAATAAATATTCTAGAATAAAATATGAAATGTCTTCATGACCTTGGAGGATGGCAGATTCTTAAACAGAACACAAAAAGTATTAACCATTAAAATAAAACAATAAACTGGACTAGATTAAAATTTAAAACTTCTATTCATCGAAAGACGCCACTGAGTGCAAAGGCAAATGAGAAAAGATATTTGCAATATACAGCACACAAAGGACTCATTTGTAGAATATATAAAGGACTTGCACATTTAAAAAGAAAAAAAGAAAACCTAATAGAAAAACAAGCAAAAGACTTGAACAGACTCCCCACAAAAGAAGATATCCAAATGGCTAATAAACATGAAAATAGTGCTCAATTTCACTTTTCATCAAAGAAATACGAAAGATTTTTTTCTACGATTCCATTTTTATAAAATTCCATTTTATAAAATTTTTATAAAATTATGAACCATTTTATAAAATGGGTTTAAAGCCAAGGTGTTAGTTATCATTGCTTTTTATTGTGAGTAAGTGGGGATTGGGGGACTGGGTAGAACTGGGAGAGAGCACAAAGGGAATTTCTGGGTGCTGGTAATGTTTTAGCTTTTGATCTAAGTGCTGGTTACGTAGGTATATGTAGAGTTTGTGAAATTTATTAATCTGTACACTTATGATGTGTTCACTTTCCTGTAGGCATATCTCAATTAAGTTTGCCAAAAAAATTATTGTTGTGGGGATTAAATAACATAAGTTAAAGAACTCAGTTCAGTTCCTATTATATGAAGGTACTTATTAGATGTAAAATTCATAGTATTAATAGTGCCCAGTAAGCATGAAGAGCCAAAGTGAGACACTCACTCATTAAGCAGTACAAAAAGTAAATTAAAAAAATTGGGTCACAGCCATTGGGATGGCTAGTATCAAAAACAAAAACCAAACAAAAAAAAAAAGCAGGAAATAAGTGTTGGCAAGGATACGGAGAAATTGGAAACCTTGTGCAATGCTGATGGGAATGTAAAATGGATTATGGTTCCTCAAAAAATTAAACATGGAATCAGCATATAATCTAGCAATTCCACTTCTGAATATGTACTCAAAATAATTGAAAGCATGAACTTGAACATATATTTGTACATCAAAGTTCAAAGCAGCATTATTCACAGCAGCATTATCTTTAGCCAAAAGATAGAAACAACACAAATGAATGAACAAATGGATAAACAAAATATAGAATGTATATACAATAGAATATTATTCAGATTTAAGAAGGTATGAAATTCCAACATATACTACAACATGGATGAATCTTGAAGACATTATGCTAAGTGAAATAAGCAAAAGAACACAAAAAGACAAATATTGTTACCAAAAAATATTATCCCCTGTGCTCTGCATATCATCTTTTTTCATAAATTAATAAATTAAGTGACCTATACATGTTGGTCTATTTCTAGACTATTCTATTAGCCTATCCGTCTAATCTTGGGCCAAAATATCACACTGTCTTAGTTACACTGGCTTTACAATAAGGCAAGTTATACGGTAGTGTGAGCCTTCTTGCTCATTCTTCTTCAAGATTGTCTTGGCTATTCTTGGCCTTTTGTATTTCTATATACAGTTTAGACTTACTCTGCTTATCGATTTCCATTTTAAATAAACATGCTGGGATTACACTGAATCTATTAATCAATTTGAGGACAGTTACAGTTCTTTGAATTAAAAACTATTTTATCAGTATAACGATGAGAAAACTGAGGTTTGGAGAGCTTAAGTAACTCGCCAAAGGTCACATGGGCAGGATTTAAACCCAATGCTGCACTTTTCTGTCTGACTTCAGAGCCTTTACATTGAACCATTCCTTCCAAGTAGACTGAAGTATTTCTATTCTATCACCACATGGATATGAAGCCCCTGAGGACAGAAAGTATGTCATCCATGTTTGTATCTCCTTAGCTCCTAGACAGTGTCCAGGACTAAGAAACTGCTCTATAAATATTCATTAAGGGATTTGTTAAATGATGAATGAGTCAGGGAGTGAATCACTAGCTTCCGAGAACCTAATCACATGCTGACAGTCCAACGCATTTGTATTCGCCCTACAGATACAAACACCCAAAGTAAACAAAACTAACATTGATTAAAGCAAAATTTTGTTTTGTTACATTTTAACCCCTAAGAGCCTAAGTCTTACCACAGTAAATCAGATCCAATGTAGAATTTTGTCCCTGAAGACGACATCAAAGGACAAATTTTGGCTGGGAACAGTCATAGTCCCTGACGTTCACCTAACTGCTATTTGATTTCCTCTCGGCCTCTATCCAGCTTGTTCTCATTTTGATCCAACTGTCTTGACTAAACTGGATTAACTACATTGCCATGTGCTCAACACTGCTAGGTATAAGGGGAGTTTGCTGGATTTGGGCTGCTCTCCATCTACTTCTTCTCCGTAACAGCACCCTACTTTCCTTTATTGGAATCATCTCTTCTGCATCAAGCATAGTCTGGTGGGTCCTACCTACTCCTAGCCACAAGGTAGGCAGATGATCCAAGGCTGACCAATCTGATGTTCCTTCCCTGGGACTGGAATCTTGAGCAGGGAGCAAATAAACAGGGATTGGCTGCAGCACCATCCCCCTGGCCAGCACGGACCTGGTGCCTCCTCCAAGGGTATCACTGTTGAGGTTTCCTAACCATGATCCCCAGGCTCCCGTCCATTCTCAGAGACCCCAGTAGCCTTCTAATAAATGTATTTTCTGCTTAAATAGTTTAGTTCGGGTTGAAACCAAAAGTTTTTAACTGAAACATAATCTCATACCAGAAGTGGGATTTTGTAAGGCTAAGCAGAGACGTTTTGGTGAAGGGAAAGAACTGATATGAGAATTTAGTAATTCTTTGTTATGTTATAGTAAACAGCTGGTTAATCTATTGCTGTTACACCTTGAGATTCAGGCTTTAACATTAAAAGGTATTGTAAGAGAATCTCACATTTTAGAGTGTGCTGATACTTTCTTCAGCGAGGTCTTCTAAGAAGGAGACAAACTGAACCCAGTCTATGCAACAATGAGAGGGAAGAAAGTACAGATTTGCTAAGAGTTGTCTTTTTGCCAATGGCCTGCAGTTACAGTTGTCTGGGGATACAGTAAAATCTCAATTCTCTACCCTCAAGTTAAAGTTAGCAGAAGAAAGGTGGGAACATAGGAACCCAACAGGAAATAAGATCAAGGCCTGGAAGAGACCCCTCCCAAGCACCCCCTGTTATGCCTTGAAGAAAGAAGTCAACAGTCCCCTTGGGAAGATGCAGCAGGATGCAGTCTGCGAGCAGCACAGAACAGTAGTTAGAGCAGGACTATAGAGCCAGGCTGCCTGGGTTTGAATCCCTGCTCTGCACTTAAGAGCAAGATCTTTACTGCTCAATGACTAATTTTTGCAAAAGGAGAATGATAATGGTTCCTGTCTTATAGGGTTGCTGTGAGGATGAAACAAGTTAGTACACACAAAACCTTTAAAACAGTGCCTGCCCCACAGTAAGTAATCCATAAATGTTACTCCTAATATTTTTGTTGTCATTGTGAGGAAGGGGTAGTTTTGTGAGTCATCCCCACCTAACCTGTCGTTTTAGATTATTCTCAGGTAGAGGACAAGATAGAAATATTAAAGTGAGGGCAAAAGGGATGACCAGAGCACCTGGGCCTATTGCTAGGAGATAACTATTCTTAGGCAGGTTCTAGTTTCAAAGACCATGATCCAGTAAGATCTCTGACCCTTATTACTATTCATAGTGTTAGCCAGAAGCAAATTAACCGGAATCTCATTAACATTTTTTAAAATTTAATTTATTTGGGTAACATTGGTTAATAACAATATATTAGTTTAAGGTGTACAACTTTATAATACAACATCTGTGTATTCCATTGTGTGCTCACCACTCAAAGTCTAGTCTCCTCCCATCACCATATATTTGATTCCCTTCATCCTTTGCATCTTCTACCCACCCTTTCTTCTCTGATAATCACCATACTGTTGTCTGTGTCTATGAGTTTGTTTGGTCTGTTTGTGTATTGCTTTTGTTTTATATCCCACATATGAGTGAGATCACATGGTTCTTGTTCTTTTCTGTCAGACTTATTTCACTTAGTTTGATATTATCAAGATCCATCCATGTTGCCACAACCCATTAATTTTTTTAGGGCATCATTTTGCCAAAGAAACCTCAAATCTGGCCCACAGTGGTCTGTGATCATGATTTCCAGACCCCCAAACTCATATCAGCAGGTAGAGAGCTGCTAAAACAGCACAGCCCCCAGAAGGACCATCCTCTTCAATGTATATGTCGTATGGCCCATGAAGGACAATCCACAGGAGAGATTTTTTTTTTTTCTGAAGAGACAAGCAGGGGCCACAGAGGGCAAAGGGCAAAGGGAGGCTTCCAGAGGGCAAAACTAGGGAAGATACATGCTTGCTGCCTGTGCAGGACGTTCATGTGATTCCTGGTAAAATATGGCATGGGCTGTGGACTGGTGACCACTGACAGTTGTTTCCTTTTCTTTCCTTTTCCAAATGAGAGTTTTCACCGCAATTACCCTGTTTTCTCTCCGATCCTGTTTTCTGAGTACATCAGAGGTGATTCCATGTACCACTTAGCCTTTCCACCACACAAGATCATAAGAGCTCCATATATGATGATTGCACATCACCCAGACAACCAGAATGAATGAAACTGTGGCTCATCGCTCTTGGGAAAAGAGGTTTTTTATATTTATGTAGAGAGTAGGAACTTTTGAAGGTATATTTAAGGGAATATAGGTGAATATAGGAATATAGGTGGGTATTGAATAGTTAAAAGGGGTGGACTGTACTGGATCGATGTTTTTGCAACTCAGCATCCACTCACTTTTCTTCTGATAAAAATAACTCATCCAAATGTGATTTGTTTGGCATTGTGAAAATTCCTCCAAATCCGGGTATGGGCCTTGATTTCTTTTTGGCCAATCAGCATATCTCATTCCCTGGCTATGTAAAGAAAGCCAATGCAATTTGATACATATGTTAAGTCTGGAAAAAGAAGAGTTCTTCACTCCTCTCTCTCCATCTCTCTTCCACAGAAGTTACTGGAAAGCAGACGGCGCCCCCCGCCCCCTTCCTCTGCATGGTGTCTGTTAAGATACGAGACTTCTAGACACTGTGGGAGATGAGGAGGAGCTGGCCCTTGGTGACATTGTTTAATTCTAGCCCTCATCTCAATCAGCATAAGAAGTTCCAACAGGTACATTAGCAGGATTGGTGCTTTTATCTTTTAATAAGAAATCCGTTATTTATCAAGAGCTTTGTGGTTTACATAGCATTTGCCTGGACAGATCTCCTGATCTTGTCACCTCCCCTGTAGGGCAGGCCAAACTTGCATTATTATCCTCCATTTATTAGATGAGGAAACTGGGTTGGAGAGATTCTGCTTTTCTCAGACACTCAGCCAGTCATTAGAGGAGCTGGAGCTTGAACCCAGGTGTGCCTCCAGGAAAAAATCTCATATTGCAGCAGGAGTTGCACAGAAGCCATCACAAAACATAGCAAGTAAAAGCAGACAGACATGCACCCAACCCACCTGCTTTCCTCTTAGCCTCAAATTCTCAACAGCAGTGCCTGGATTTCAAATCCTGAGCACCAGCACAGTTGCTTCTGCGGGAGGGGAAGTGACTTCGTTTGAGATATTTCTGGTGCAGTCAAGCGGGAGGTCATTTTTTTTGTGTGTGGTTTCATTGATTTTATGATGAGGGAGTCTGTGATCTTAGTTGGAAATATTTATACTTTAAAGAGAGAAACCCAGGGGACTCAGTCGTGTCTGTAGGCCAGTCACTCCCAGGGACCTTCTTAATTTAGCGATTCCTCCCTTCCATCCCCCCTCCTGTCAGTCTTCCTTTATACAGGGCGGGACTGAGTGGGTGATGAATTTATGAGACTGGAGCTCCAGAGCCCACGTGGAGGAGTAAATTACAAGTGACTATACTTCCTGGATGGGCCAGCCTTCTTAGCCCTGGCGACACTTCAAAGCTTCCAGAAAATTCCCCAAGAAGAACAGCCAGTCTCTGCAGGGCTCTGTGTAGCCCTCTGATGGCTCTGTTAGACAACTGTCCGAGTATTCTCCAATGTCTGTGGGCTTTTGTTCACTTGTTTGCACATCCCTCTTTGGCAGTTAGCCATGCTCTTTGGCAGAAAGAGACACTGAAGCACAGGGAGGCCAAGGCTGTGAACCCAGCAGGCTCGGGAGCTGAACTCCAGCTGTCAGTCTGGAATTCCATCTACCTGCCCTACATACCAGAAGGGCCAGGATTGTGCTTATCTACCTTTGAATCCCCATTTCTAGCACAAATTATGGCAATAGCTGGAGCTTAATACCTTTTTTGTGGAAAGAATGGACAACTTTGCTGTCCTGTTCTTTATGCCAAATTTGATTAAAGCCCAATTCGAATCCTATAGGCCACAGAGAACAAAGAAGGTTTGACGTTCATAGATGTTGGATAGTGTCCAAACTGATTCCTTAGTAACTTCTAGGCACCAAAATAAAAACATGTTACTAAAATTGCTGTACAATTTATGAAGCCTTTTTACTTATATCTTGTCATTATCCCTGTAACAACTCATCCCTGTAACAGCTGGCATAGTTGTGCCCATCTCAGAGATGAGGAAACAAATACAGAGAAGTTGGGTAATTCATCACAGTCACACAGCTGATATGTGACAAAGCCAGGACGCAAACCCCTGTCTTTCCATTCTGAGTTCAGTGTTCTTTCCACTGTATCGTACCAAGGGCTACGTTTTTGTTCCTGCCTTCTGTGGGGCCCCAGAAGGGCTACTGGAGATAGAGGAAGGTGAAATCAAGGTTAGGAAATCCCTGATTTTGCCTGGGGCAATGGAGAAGAAAGATGAAGGTTTTCTCCATGGTTCACTCATTTCCTGAGCACCTAGTACATGCCAGTCTCCATGATTGACATGTACCTGCTTCCAGGGGAAGATTTACAGGGAAGCTGAAGCTTTGGGCCCCTCCTTTATGCAGACCCCGGCTCTGGGTAATGAGGCCCTTCAATTAACTACACAGAAACACTTGAAATATCCTGAGTTCATATATAAGAGAAACCTGATAGAGGTTTTCCAAATTTGACCACAACCCTAAAAAAGTACCTGATATTATAAATGAGTTGTGAAGCTGAATAATAAGTTCTCAATAATAAAAAACAAATTTTAATCAAGCATACTAAGGAAGACAGAATTATCTTTCTCTTTTGACTATGGAAAATACTACAAAATCATTGTCATGTTGAGGAGTGATCAAAAAGTATGCAGTCAAAACATAGCAAAGTAAGTATTTTAAAGAGTTATGTTTAGGTAGTTAATGTTTTTAATTGTCATTTTCTTCTTGATTTTGTGATATTTATGTTATTTGTCAGCTTTTAAAATGTGTTGTTTTTGCCATTTCTAATTCTAAATCAATGTTCATTTTGCAGTTAACTTATAATTGTAATTTCCATTCTTTTTTCTTAAAGAGGGCCCTGTCAAAACGTAAAAGTGTCAGGCCCCATACAATTTGGGTCTGTCCCTGTGTGGGTAATCTCATTTAAATGTTATAATAACTCTATAAGAATTACTATTGTTATCTTCGTGTTACTGATGAAGAAAGTAAGGTTTAGAGATGATCCTTTTGCCCCAGATCCTGCAAACTAGAAAGGAGTAAAACCTGGTTTCAAACTATCATTTGACTCAAAGCCCATGTTTTTCTCACCATGTTACTACCGGAACTACCCTTTGTGGAAATTCATCCATGGTCCAACCACTTAATGTTTTGGGAAACTGCAGTTTAAAAATCCGTTCACAAATCCTTCGATGCTCTTCTCTCCCCATCTCCTCTCCCCTTGAGTACAGGTTGGAGTTAGTGACTTTCTTCTCACAAATGAATGTGGAGGAAATGGTGATGTATGATTGGGTCTTAAAAGGCACCATGGCTTCCCTCTGGCTTTCTCTCTCATGGATCCCTCATTTCAGGAGAAGTTGACTCTCACGAAGACATTCAACCAGTCCTCATGGCGAGGAACTGAAGCCTTGTGCAACAGCCATGTGACGAGCCATCTTGAAAGCAGACTTTCTGGCCCCAGTCAAGCCTTCGGATAACTGCAGCCTGGCCAACATCTTGACTGCAATATCTTGAGAGACTCTGATCCATGGAAGAAGCAGTGTGGCTTCAGGAATTAAGCCTCAACTCCAAATGTCCTTAATCCTCATAGGCCCTTCCTTTCACCCACACGGTGCAGAAACAAGCTGTGCTACATGCTCTGGAACCAGAAACTCGATCTGCATGCCATTGGCCAATTCTGTGAGGTCTGAGGACACCATGAAAACAGCCAAAGATACTTGGTCTGAGGAAAAGGGATGCACACAGAGGCTTCAGGAGGCCACTCCATGTATTCTGAGGGGAACCCTCATGCCTGTGTTGCTCTTTTGTATGGGGACAAACCACAGGGCTCTGCACAAGCAGATAGAATTGACAGTGACTCAGAGACAGGGAACTGCTCTATGCAGCAACTGGGATTTGTTGGGGGCTCCAGAGCCTGACCTAAAGTGAGGGACTTTATGGGAAAGATGCCGAGACAAGGCTTTGCAAGCTCGTCTGGTGGCCCTATTTGAAACAGTCTTCTCTCTGCCCTCAAATCAGCTGTTTCCAGGCAGGGTGCGTCTCCCTCTGCAGGATCTTCAGGGCCAGGCTTGCCAACACCAAGCAGAATACAAAGAGCCCCGAGAGAGATCAGATTTCTTTTTCCCACTTAGGAAGTGAGCTCTTCTGATTTCAAAAGAATACATTTCCTTGCCCATTAAAAAAAAAATCTCCAAATGCTGCTTCAGGCTGACAAATCCAGTTGAATCATTATTGACATTTAGTGTTTGTCCAGGACATTCAGGGCATTTTTGTCTGGGATTGAGAGTTTTCCCAGGGTGAGGGCCTTTCAGTGCTAAAATGGGGACAATCCTAGGCAAGTAGGACAGTTGGTCACCTATTGGCATTTAATAAGTGGGAAGCCACGTAAATCCAGTATTTTTTAAATAAAAAGTTAATGATATTATTTATCACTCACCCTCAGGAAAGCATATTTTAGCAAGAAATAAAACTCTTTGTACTGGATGTCTTCAGGAAAGCCCAGAGCTCTTTTGGGAGGAGGAAGTGGAAAGAGGGAAGGACATAGTTCTGCTTTCTAGACTTGTCCTCTTTACCTTAAATATGAGTTCTTATCAGTAGCCCTTGCAAATGATAACTCACCTGGAGGACTGTGCTCTTCTAGAAAGACAAGGTAAGAGGTAAGTTGTTCTGTGACTAAACACGTTGATAAAGGAGAAAGCTGCTTAATTTAAAATGCAAGCAATGATCTCCAAAGGACACCTAATTCTCACAGGTTTGCACTCTTCTTGAATATGAATATCAGCCTACAAAATCCATTTTGCAAGAAAAGTAACTTTTTTTTTTTAAGTGCCTAACTTAATTTCTGTTAGGAGTCTCCATTGTATTGTGGTGGTAGGAACTTGATCTTAGCGAGTTCTGGAGTCCTTATCTTTTCTTCAAGCTCATATCTAAGTTCAAGGAGGGGGACACTTAATATAGTGCTAAGGTCTGGGCAGGGATGGGACAGCAGCATCTGCTAACACTAAGCAAATACTTATTGAGCGCTTGTGCTATGCCAGACACTAAGTGTTTTATATGCATTCTCTCTTTTTATCTCAGATTAGTACCAATCTGCACAATTTTTGTCCCCAGTTTACACAAAAGGCATGGAGAAGAGACTTACCTTAGGATTACATACTAGTAAGAGGCAGAGCGAAGGTTGAAACCCACTGGCCTGAGTCTAGAGGCGACCCACCCAAAGCCATGCATTTAATAAACATTGATTGATCCATCGCCTATTACCTGACTGAGGCTCACAGGATGGAGCAGTGAACAAAGCAGAGAGAGACCCCAGCCCTCGAGTTCCCATCCTGGCCTCCATATGCCTCTGCCTCTTTGCAGCAGCCAGGAGACATCCACTCCCGTGCTGGCCCTGGGGCATCATTTCCCCCAGGCGGCATCTTTCCTTGTTCCCATTCTAGAGGACTCTTCAGGCCCAGCAACTAACTCTCTCTCTCTCTGTCTCTGTCTCTGTCTCTGTCTCTGTCTCTGTCTCTCTCTGTCTCTCTCTCTCATTTCTAGCTACTCTCTTTTGACTGCCACACTTCTAAGACAACGGAAATTTATTCTGTTGTGTGCACCATGCTGGCCAGAGAGAAACTTTGCAGGACTAAGACCCCTTTTACTTCCAACTGCCCTCAAACCAGGGCACATTTGCTCACATGTCAGTGCCCAGGGAACAACCTGCA